CCACTTTTAGACAAAATGAAAACCACATAGATGCTTTCTAGACTTAAAGTTTAGGTCCCATTTTCAACCTTTTTACTAAACCTCAAGGACCAAAATTAGAGTTTACTCTATAATATATATTGTATTAATATATTTAAATAGTTTTTTTTATGTAAAATATGTAAATAATTAAAGTAATAATATTTTCTCGATAAAAAGAAATGTGTATTTGAATTAATTTTAATATAATGATTTAATATTGTGGATGCTCTGCTTTTAGAGCATCCACAATGATAGTTCTTATAATAACTCATTTCGTAGGTCTCATTTAATAGTTCTATATAAAAAACTATTAAAATGTCAAAAAAAAAGTATGTACAAAAACTATTAAAATGTCATTTCATACAAAATTCAATGTAAGAACATCTCCAACGGAGGTTCTTATATTGACAAAAATAGCCAATTCCATCAAATAAATTCAATTTTTAGCCATTTTTTAGAGTCACTTCCTAAAATAGCCAAAGTTTACGCAGGAATTTGAATCCTTACGTAGAAATTTGATTTCTGGAAACAGATAAAGAAAAAAAATGCGAAGAAACACTAGATCAACATTAATGAGATGCACCAGATTAATTTCCTTTTAAAACGTAATTCATGGGTTGGTTTGAGATTTAAAATGATCAAGGGTCAAATCATTTCTTACATTTTTCATGTCAATTCCTATTCTCACACGATCCTTTGTCTTAATAATTATATATATAAGATTGTTCTCGATGACAGTTCTCCGTATTATATATATATATATATATATATATATATACTAGAAGAGTACTCGCGCAATGCAGCGAGACACATCTTAATTTTAATGTTCTATTTTATTCTTTGTCTCTATCGATGTTATAATACGATTTTATGCGTTTTAAAGAAAACAATAATGATTTTATTTTTGAATAATATATAAATTTGAAGATATCATAAAAATTTGAAAAAAATTATATCAATTTTAATATCAAATCAACTATTTAAAAGTTTTTACTTTTTATGTAATTTCTTTAATTTATTTTTTTATTATAATTTAATTTAAGTTTAATAATGAAATAGTTTATTTTTGGTTTAATAATATAACATTTTATAAAAATAATTAAGTATTATGTTAGAACTTAATGATTATCCTAATTATATTTTAGATTTTTTATATTTAAAATGAGATGTTTATTCTGTATTTGATTATGTTTATCTGCAGTTAGTTACACGAATTCAGATATGAAGCTTTAATAATTGTACTAATGCACAATCTACTTGTAATCTTAGGTAATAAGTAATATGCATTAATAAACATTATTTTGTGCAAAAAAATGGGTTTTAAAAGTTTTTTGTCAAATGCTTTATAATATAGTATAGATTATGTATTTTTAATAAAAAATAATGATTTTATTTTTGAATAAAAATATAAATGTGAAGATATCATAAAAATTTGAAAAAAAATATCAATGTTAATATCAAATCAACTATTTAAAAGTTCTCATTTTTTATTTAATTTATGTAATTTATTTTTTTATTGTAATTTAATTTAAGTTTAATAATGAAATAATTTATTTTTGGTTTAATATTATAAATTTTATAAAGATAATAATTAAGTATTCTGTTAGAATTCAATAATTATCCTAATTATAATTTAGATTTTTTATATTTAAAATAAGATGTTTATCCTGTATTTGATGAAATAGGATATGGATGAAATCGGTTAGGGATGAAATCGTTTAGGGATGAACGGGTTTAGGGATGGCTTTAACAGGTTGTACCATTAGCAATAGATGTTGTCTTTAAGAGTTTAAGAGTTTTAAGAGTTTAAGAGTTTTAACCAAATGCTTTATAATATAGTATAGATATATAACATAAGTTGAATAAAGAAATGTATATTGTAATAATTATATAGCTTATATATACATATAAATATATATTATATCAATAATTATAAAGTCAATAAAATATATAAAAAATTTAGGAAATTGCAAGGTTCAAAATGGCTTGAAACATGACATGACGGCTAACTCAACCCTTAAACACCACGATGAGGATGTGATATTTTTTAAGCTTTGACATAAGATGATAAATTTGTATGTCATATGTATAATTTTATATGCATATATCTTTTCTATTTATTGTTCAATAATATAATAATATTAAAAAAGTTTACATTGATATAAATTAAATAGTATTATATAAAAAGTTTGTAATCAAATAGAACTTGGAGGAGGTTTTACAAGTTTACATCTAAAGACAAAAGTTAAAAAAACTAAATCTGAAAAAATAAAAAAAAAGTCACGTCTTAGAAAAAAATGTTCGCCACAACGCGCCTCAAGCCACACCTTGTCTACAAATGCTACGGGCCTTATCGTAACAACAAAGACATGTCTTACGCCATTGCGCGTGCACGTCTTTTTGAACACCGGGAAATTGTCACTTCATACAAATTTCATGGTAAGAACTTGAGTTCTTGTATAAGAACTCAAGGGAAGAGGGTGACGTTCTTATAAGAACTCTTAAGAAGATATAAGTATTTTATAAGAAGTCTTTCGAATAATAGTTCTTTTAAGAACTTTCCATTAGAAGTGCCCTTACAAGAACCAGAAACAAAGAGAATGAAGTGGCGTTTGTTTTTTAAGATATGCTGAAGTCTGAAGTCTGATTTCACTATTGATTTATAAGTAGTGGTCTTGAAGTCTGAAATCTGGATCAATAAGATTATTTGTTTTTACGTCTAAATCTGAAATCTGAATTGGTTAAACTAGTGCAAAAATATAAAAGATAAATAGTTTTTACAAAAGTTTTAAAAATGAATAGTTTTTTCTTAACAAATCTCTTCCAACCCTCAAAATATGAACCATATGATAGAGGGCGGATTAGGATTAAGAGGTATTAAGTGATACATTTACCACTTAAAATTTCAGAGGACATTTAGAGCTTTTAAGCTCTTATTTTAAGAATAAAACAAACACTTTTAATACCTAAATGTCTGAATGAATCAGACTTCAGAGGTATTAAGAGATAATTTTGAAAAAACAAAAATTCGCTGAATTTCTCAAACACATATTAATTCAATGTTGTTATAAGAACTATAAGAACAAGTAGAGAAGATAATGAATCTCTCAGATTCATTAATTCTTATGTCAAAATGTTAAAAATAACAAATAATTCATTTAGACAATCATAGGATTGAATTATAGTTTTGGTCCCTATGGTTTACTCATATTATGAATTGAATCTCTCAAACACATTAATTATAAGCATAGTCATTAAGGGTATAAATGATACGAGGCAACTTGCGAGCTACTTGAGATCGACTCGGTTAACACTCGACTCGAATAGGCTTGGCTCAAACTCGAGATCGACTCGACATAATAATGAGTCAAGTCAAGCTACCCAATACTCGACTCGAAAAGCTCGTGAGATACTCGATTATTGTATATATAACTAGTTTTAAAGCATAATCAGTTTTTATAATAAAATTTGTAAAATATAAATTATAAAAATGTCTTATATTTTTAGATATTTAAACAAAATTATGCATTTTTTAATTATAAAAATTAAATCAATTTTTTTATTAAAATTAAAACCACAATTAAAAAAAGACAAAGAAAAACTATAAAAAAAAATTAGTGAAATTATCCTACATTGAAGAGAGATGGTAAAGAAAGAGACAAAAAAAGTTATAAAAAAGGGAGGTGAATAAATTTTTTAACTTTGTTCTTTATGATGAAGTTTAAAGTTAATCCTTTTAGTTTTATAAAAACTAAGAAAACACCTTTAAGTTTTAAAATTTATAAGAGAAAAACCCTATAATTTTATAAATTTCAATTAGCGAGCTTGGTTCGAGCTTGATTCGAGTTCAAGCTTGATTCGAGTTCAAGCTTGATTCGAGTTGCAGTTCGAGCTTATTTCAAGCTTGATTCGAGATTAGTTCGAGTTTGATTCGTGTTCGAGTTCAAGCTTGATAAATAGTTATCGAGTTCGAGTCGAGCTTTGATTTTTACTACTTGTGAGTTTTCGAATCGAGTTCAAGCCTGGAAATTCAGTTTCGAGTTCGAGTTCAAGCCTAGAAATTCAGTTTCGAGTTCGAGTCGAGTAAAGTGATATCATTTACACCCCTAATGGTCACTATAATTTGCATTTCATTACGAATTAGGTTTCTTATACTAACACTATATGTTTTTGGTTTGTTAGTCGCCTCATACGTCCCTCGTATGAGGGACAAAATGGTCATTTTTGAACCTAGGGTTTCACCCATTTCACCTTTACAGACGTCGATATTCTCTCTCTTTCTTTCACTCTCTTTCATTGAGCTCACGCGACTTCCTTTGTTGCTCTCTCCCCTTTTGCGGTATGTTGTTGCTCTTTTCCTTCCGTCGTTGCTACTTCTCTTACCCATCATCTACTGACGCCCCATCCCTTCGTCGTTTGTTGCTGCTCTGTCGCACCATCTGCTAATTCTTTGCCCCTTTCTTTGAATTACGCTCCAAGGAAAGATCAAAAAAATACAAAATGGTAGAGATTCAAACAAACAAAAAAGCTTTCTTCATTATCTTAGAAGCAAGAACCACAAAATCATAAACCGTAGATTCAGTTAACCTCTTTTTGTATATAATTCAACCTCAAGATTCACATAGCCTTTTGTTTTCATTTTGATCAGTTTTCAATGGCGACATCATTAGCGATATTTTCATCGTTTGAAGTTCACGAAATAGACTCGTGGTGCAAAATAAATTGATTAAGTGATAGAAAATGATAGTTATCAACCAATAGAGGGACCATATTTGTAATTCACTCATAGTAAAAAATGAAAGGAAAATTAAAGGGGTAGTCAAGTCATGATTGAAAAGATGAAGGGGGTAAAATGTAAGAAATATAAAACCAAAACGCGAAGAGAGATCTCTCTCCTAGATTGTATTACGAAAAGCACGGGAAAAAGAGAAAATCAAAATCGACGGCTGTAATTTCATCAAATAAGTAAAAAAGGTCAAAATCCCTTGGGATAGCCAGTTCTTCCCCCTTTCAGCCTCCCATATCCGTCTTTATCCCTCTCTCATCGTCGACGACTGGCAAATGCTGTGTGATCATTTCCTACTGAACCTTGAAATCAATCCATGGCGGAACCGCTGATCAATCTCTGATTCCTTCTTCTCACTCCGATCCGTCTCCAGTTTCGTAGATCTGAAAAGCTTTTCATTTACTTACTATTTATGGAAATGGCTGCAATATCTTCAAGCCCGCGCACGGTCGAAGAGATCTTCAAGGATTACAGCGCTCGTCGCTCCGGCATCGTCCGAGCTCTCACTTACGGTACAGAGTTATTATTCTCTGACGGTTTTATTATATTATTTGCATATTTTATGACTTTTGACTTTATTTGTTTTTTTTTTAATTAATCATTTGCTCTTGCTTTGTCACAGATGTCGATGAATTTTACGCAACCTGCGATCCAGGTTTATCTCCATATTTAAATGCATATTTATAAATTTTAGCAATTAACTGAGATGCTTGATTTGAGTGATTTTGAGCTTGTTTTGTAATATACTGTTTTATGCCATTTACTTCATGCTGTAATAAATGGTTTTATTTTCGGATTAAATTTAACTTCTAAATTGATTAGAATTCCGTAATTTGTTTAGAAAATATTAACGCGTTAGCCATGTTTTTTCAATCGGAAGTTCGTTTTTTGGTAGTCTGTTCCGAAATTGATATGAAATATGAAAAGGGTGCTAAGCTAGTCATCTGAATTGGAGGTGTGTCTTTTTCTTTTGATGTAGTTTCTTGTCTCATTTCCAAGTCAACCGTCATCTTTGACTATTTTGGTCAGTTTGATAGCTTCTTGACTGAAATAAACTGTTGCATTAAATTTTAGACTGGCAACCAACTATGAAGTTGTGATCCTAAACAATGAAATTGGCACTCTATTAGACTCCGTATTTGACTCTTAGAGATTTGAAGGACCATGTTTCAACTTGATATTTGAGATTTTATTGATGTTTATTTAACTATTTTGAGTTATCCTTGAAAAACACTGATAATTAATTAGGAAATAATTGGTGTTAGTAAGGTAAATTTATTTTATATTTTTTTTATTTAAGAAATGCAATCTTGGTATAATTGACTCAAATTCTAGGACAGAGGTGGTATTAGTAATTTGTAAAAACTTCAAATTACCATAATTTTGTGAAAAGGAATCAGAGGGTGTTGAAGTAGGGACTGAAAGAGTAGTGTTGGACTGGAGCTCATGCTTCTTTAGTTAGATCCAATTATTGTTTACTGAATATGCTTAATTTGATGAATTGTGAACGTGCAGAGAAGGAGAATTTGTGTTTGTATGGACATCCAAATGAAACATGGGAGGTAACACTGCCAGCAGAGGAAGTCCCTCCAGAACTTCCAGAACCTGCTTTGGGGATTAATTTTGCAAGAGATGGGATGCACAGAAGAGATTGGCTGTCGTTGGTGGCTGTGCATACTGATTCTTGGTTGTTGGCGGTTGCTTTCTACTTTGGTGCTCGCCTTAATAGGAATGAGAGGTGCTTTCTATCTCATCCACTATATCTTACATCTGACTGTATCCTTGTTTCAGTTGATTTCCTTGCATACATTCTAGCATATCCACACTCCTTTATATGTGATGTCATCTTTGTCCTTCTTTGGAGTTGTCATTTACTTTTGCTGTCAAGAACTTAGGTATAGAATTGAATCTGTGTAATTTTCAGCAGGTGGAGATGCTAACATGTGATGTCTAAAGCTGAATATCTTTTCTCTGCTTCTTAAGAAGTTGCTAGGGATGATAGTCTAGAACAAGCAATGCAGAAGTTGTGTTTGCGCTTGATATTGTGTTATCTTACTACTGGTGACCTCTGGTTCTCCAGATGCTTTACTTGTGAAATAAGGAAGACCCAAGTTGCTTATCCAAATTACAGTAATTTAAGACCCAAGTTGCTTAGATTTATGAGAAGAGAAATAGATGTCTTTTTCTTCCTTTTGGTTGATACAAAAGACTGAAGCAAGATTAAAATGACAATTTTAATCTATTGGTAGTGGAACTTGTAAACAAAGGATTATGGTGAATCCATGCATGACATATGGTTTTAGCCAAATTATGGCCTTCTGAAAGTTGAAGTTACAGCCATTTTGAGATCTAATGGAATCAAAAGAGCAATTGATGTATAATTGGAGATCAATGGTCCATGGTTCATTGTTGTTACTTGTTAGTTCAAGGCTGAAAGTAATAATTTCTGTTAACTTCATCATGTGGGCTGCAGATTCATTTCAAAGAAACATCCATGTGTCTTTCTGAGTTTCACTTAAGTTTCATTCTTTGCAGGATAGACACCTAGAGATTTTTGACTTACACCTAGCTATGATCTTTTATTTATACTTAACGTAGCCCTAGCAATAATTGTCATAATGGATTAGCGATCCTGTATTATACTTCCAGTTTTTAATGAAGTATTCCATTCTAGTAAAACATATGTTTTCTGCTCATGCTCATATTCTGATTTGTTTTCTGTTAAGCGAAAGGAAGGCATGTACTGCCATGTTTTTTTTTTCTTTTTGATTGTGTTGGGCGCAGCCATCAATATACCAGAAGTGTTTTGGTTTTTCTGGGGAATAAAAACTGTGTTTGATATAGTAGAAGTGGATTTTTTGTGCTTTTCAATTTATTTTTTGATCCATATATCCTAATATCCTCGAGTCTAGTAACAAGTTCTTTTTAAAAAAAAGTCAAGCAACAAGTTCTTTTTAAAAAAAAGTCTAGCAACAAGTTAATTTTCCATAACTCCTTTGAATGTGAAAATAGATTTCAGTTGAACAGGCTAAATATCTCTTATGGATTCTTCCTGTCTCTACTTTGTTTGGTGAATTTGGTTTGATAGCTTACATGAGTAGAGTTGTATATTACTGAAAACTTTTGGACTTCATCACTAGATTATGGCATATGAGAGAGGATGGTTACTAGTAGTATAGTAGAGAGAATGAGTAAAAGGAAATGGCAAGCGAGGACACACATTGGACAAGTCAATGCTCAAATACCGAGTTAAATGTAGTTCAATCCCTATTAAAATACCAGTTGTGTAAATTTATGCCATAGAAGCCTAAATTTATTGACTGAAATTTGTTAATACTGGCTTCCTAATGGCAATCCCTTAAATTCCTTTTGCAAACCCTTTATAAACCAAATTGAGTAATGAAGTTGGTATGGAATGAGATGAAGGTCTGATGGTGAATCTGATTTGCCCAGGAAGCGTCTGTTCAGCTTGATAAATGATCTTCCCACCGTCTTTGAAGTGGTGACAGAGCGGAAGCATGTGAAGGACAAGCCAAATGTGGATAATGGAAACAAATCCAGATCGAGCACAAAGGTAATGAATGTCCCTTGAACACACACCATTTGAATTATGATCAAGATCCATAACGAATGCATGCTATGGTTACCTACATACAGAGGACAAACGATGGACAAGCAAAAAGCACCACACCAAGGGTTTATGACGAGAGTTATGCGGAAGATGAAGACGAGCACGGGGAAACCCTTTGTGGGAGCTGTGGAGGGAATTACAGTGGCGACGAGTTCTGGATAGGTTGCGACATCTGTGAGAGGTGGTATCACGGCAAGTGCGTGAAAATAACACCTGCGAAAGCCGAAAGCATCAAGCAATACAAATGCCCTTCTTGCAGCACAAAGAAGGCGGGGCGCCCATAGACGTAACTAATCTATTTCTATCCAACATGTCATTAATTTGGTAGTAGGATGTTCTCTTTCCCTTCCCTTCCCCCAACCCCTACAACATATATATAGCAGCAGCAGCAGCAGCAGCAGATATATGTGGTTATTAAAGTGATTGGACTTGGTTTAGGATATGGTTTCTTTTGCAGGAGAGCAGGAGGTTATTAGTGATACAGTGCTTGCAATTGCCGCCCCTTTGTTGTCATTCTTGCACACTCTAATTTGACCTTTTTTTTTACAACTCTTTTATCTTTTAGATATTGTCTTGAACTGTTATTTTAATGATTGCGAATCAAGTTTAGACTACAACAACATATCAACTTTTTATGTTACAAATCGTAGATACCTGGTTACAAAATGAAAATAGTGATGATTACATCTTATCTTGGGGGTTTTAAAGAGTCCACTTGAACTTTTCCGTGTGGACCTCTTGTACGTATGAATCGTCGATATTCATCAAATGTCATCGATGGATAGAGAGCAGGTGTTTTTGACGTGACAAGCTCTGGTATTGGTTGAATCAGCAAATCGTTTTTCGGATTATAGAAATAAGCTAAAGACACTCTCTCTTTATCTGGGTTCACTACCACTCTGTGCTCCACGCTCTTATATATTGCATTGCTCAAAACCTGCGATCATAAATACCCAGAATATCAACGTACCATACTATTTTAGTATCCAAAAACTTTGGCTTGTTATAAAGATAAAACATATAATAAGCAAGTTCGATGTATTTTTAAAAAAAAATGAATTCTTTTAATGAAGATGTTTATATAAAATTTATCACTTTTATATATTTTTATTATCTATACTATATTATAAGCATTTGACAAAAACTCTTAAAAACTATTTTTTGTGCATAAAATACTGTTTATTAATGCATRTTACTTAAAACTCAAGATTACAAGTAGAGTGTGCGTAAGTACAACTTATTAAAGCTCCATACCTGAATTCGTGTAACTAATTATAGATAAACATGATCAAATACATGATAAGCATATCATTTTAAATATATAAAATCTAAAATATAATTAGGATAATTCTTAAGTTTTACAGAATATTTAAGTATTATCTTTATAAATATTATATTATTAAACCAAAATAAATTACTTTCTTATTAAACTTAAATTAAATTATAATAAAAAATTAAATTAAAGAAATTATTTAAGAAATGAGAACTTCTAAATAGTTGATTTGATACTAATATTGATACATTTTTTTCTTCAAATTTTTATGATATCTTCAAATTTACATTTTATTTAAAAATAAAATAATTATTACATTCTTAAAAAACACATAAAATTGTATTATAACATCGACATAGACAAAAAATAAAATAAAACATTAAAATCGAAATGTATCTCGCTGTATTACGCGAGTATCCTTCTAATTATTAAAAAAACACTTAGAAGCGTTCTATAATATTTAAATGTTACACTTTCTACGAAACATAAACATCAATTTTTGGGATTATATAATAATTTATTAATATCTTATTTTTCATTTATTTTAATTATAGTTTTCTAAGTTTGTCCATATCAACTTCCTATTTGAGTATAATAACATTCAACGGTCTGTTTTTGAAAAAGAAATAATATGAAAAAAAATGCAAAAATTAAAATAAATCCTTAATATATAAATATCTATAAAAATAGTTAAGAAAAACAAATAGTTTTTTTTTTGAATTTCGGATATCGTTTTTTATTTATCAAAAACTCGTTTTCGAGTTAAATTAAATTTAACAACAAAACGAATTGACAATTAAGAGGTTTTGGGTCTAGAGGGAACTTTACTTGAAGTTGATCTCCGATGTTAATAATAATGGCATGACGTGTAGGTTTGACAGTGATCCATTGATCGTTTTTTCGGATTTGGAGTCCGCAAACTTGCTTATCGGGAAGTAAAAATGTCATGCCACCAGGATCCGAGTGAGAAGATAATCCCAGAGTTAAGTCGGGTTGCGGGCACTTTGGATAGAAATTTGCTCTCAAGCACGCTTCGATGTCCCGTCCACCAAATGCATTTTGAAGATAATCTTCTTCTAATCCAAGGTTTATCGAAAATATCTTCAACAAAACCGCACCCAATCTTAGTATTTCACTCGAGTATTCCTCCATGACTTCCCTACATTAAGAATACACACCACCATGATCAAACACAATCTCTGTTCAAAAATATTAGTATAACAATTACGTTCAATCATACAGATATTTCTCATACTATAAATCCTGTTACTGAATAAAGTATATAGTTTAGCAATTATTTTTGTTAATAGATCAAATTATACGTACATATGTGCTGAACAACTTCAGTATTAAGAAAAGGTCCGTTTTTGATTTAAATCATAATTCGAACTTATTATTTTCTATTTCGAATTTATCGCAAACGTTACCACCTAATTGTTTGTGTTTCTATACTCCTCGAATAGTTAAATGCAACAATAAAACGTGCTCCAATACAATCAAAATAATCCTGATTTGATGCTTAAAAACTATTTTTTATTATACACTAGGCATCATGTCTCGTGAACTGCAAAAAAAGAAAGAAAGCATTATATTTTGTAAGAAAGAACGACTTTTGGACAAATCGTAATACTATACATGCAATAAGAATCATTCTATCTACAAGGGTGGTGCCTGATTGGTTTGAGGTTGGCTCCAAAGGTCAAAAGTACCAGGAGGTCCCAGGTTCAAATCGAAGGAGAAATAAAAATCCCCTAGTGGCCATAGAGGTTCAAATGCGGTGACTCCGGGCTAGCTGCAAAACATGTGACTGCCTTGGAATTAGTCAGCTTGTATAGCGGGTTGGATATCCAGGTTAATAATAAAAAAAAGGAATCATTCTACGATGCATCTTTTTGTCCAAATCCTCCGTATCTCAAAATATAATGTTTTTTTTTAATATTTTATGAAACAATGATCGACTTTTAGTGAAAAATCAAGTACAATAATTAAGAAAGTGATCATCCTCGTTTTCCGACACATGTAATCACTTCATTTCTTTCTGTAATATAAACATAATCTGATATGTAAATAATAAATCATAAGTTTGCTCGAAAGTTACCTTAAGGAAGGTGGTTGGGAAGGCCATTTTGTATGACAATGAGGAAGATAGTTGAGATAGTAGTAATCGTTCCAGTCAAGAATTGCCCCTTTCTCAACCCCTAATCTACTTCCAAACCCTTCGTATGTCTTAGGCGAGTTTGCATACTTTTGCTTCACTTCCATCGGTTCGTGGAAAAATTCCCGCCAAATTTCGGGCACCCTGTCAACTAACACTGTCCTCACCCCATGATTCACCAACTGGAAAAACCCCCATTCACGACAAGCCTTCGAAATTTGTTTCATGATCGCTTCACGTGAAGTTACCAAACCAGCCAAATCGATCACAGGTATGTTCACGTTATTAAAGCATAAAATCGGCCTCTCGAGTGGTGGCTTGACGTATTGGTCGGGAATCACGAGATCCCCACTTTCGGATAACGATTGCACGCAAATCACTGGTTCGGGCCAATCACAAAGGCTTCCCATGTTGTATATTTGATTTGGATATTGTGGGAGAAGGGGAAGGGGTTTATATAGGGTGTTGGGGTGGCAAGTGCAACAAAAATGGGGGGTTTGAAATGAAAATAATCGTGGAAATATAAGTGATTATAAATCCCACGTGTGCGTTTTTAGTGTGCGAAACGATGAGGGTGTTGATGGTAATTTAAGGGTAAAGAGGAAACAGACAAATTAAGCCGACATGAAATTATATTTAACGTGTTTTTCGGCGCCGCAATATATTTTAAGGCACTATAAACATATGAATAGTGGCGTAAAGAAACAACGTGGTCGTTTTGGAGTTTTTCATGTCACGGACACAACTATTAAAATATGTCGCTACTTTATATGATTGGAATCTAATTAAGATAGACAACATATTTTTATATTTAGAGGTGTTTGAGATTGTTTATTTGAAACAACTTATGTTTTTTTATAAAAAGTCCTTATCAATTTATTACAAGTTAGAAGGTTTTAACTTCTTCAAAAACTTCTTATTACCGGTTTGACACCGTTGTAAGCTGTTTATCCAAACACTCAAAAGTGATTATTACCGGTGCCACACCAGAATAAGTCAATAAATTGTTTTTAAAAGCGATTCTAAACACCCCCTTATTTTAGTTAACCTTCTTAATTGATAAATGTAGTCTTTAAATAATAATGCATATCTTATAATTATATAGCATCATAATGTAACGTTAAATTATGTTAAAATTTAGAACTTGTATACATTGAGTATGCTTGAACTTGTACATATGCGACAAATAAAAAGAGTTAGGGGTCGTTTACTAAACACTTATCTTGGTAAGCACTGGTAAGTGCTTACCGGCTATATTAGCTTATCCGTGAACATAACAAGGGCCGAGAGTCTTACCAGGTAAGACGGAAGACAAGAATCGAGAGTCTTACCGAGTAAGTGAGGGTGATGACTCTTACCCGATAAACGCTTACCGGGTTATAAATGTTTGTCGGGTTATCCATTTTGATGGCAATGAATGTTACTCAATAAGGCAAGTGAGAGTGGTGAACATGTGGGTAAGAGCTTACCCGATAAGCGTTTGATAAACGGCCTTTTAGACTTAATGCCTAGTAAATTCAAACAGTTTTTGCTTTAATATAAAACGATAAACTTAAAAGATGTTATTTAAAATCACAATGTTCAAAATGAAATGTATTAATCATAAAAAGAACATCTTTCCCAAATCTCACCATTATCGTCGTGAAAACTCATTAACCAAAACATCCATTTCACATGAAACCAAAACCCAATACTCATACAAAATGCGAATATGGTTCAATATTCAGATACTAACAACATGGATAAAACTTTATTATTCAAAACACTAAAACATGGATAAGTTCCAATATAACAAAATCATAAATTGTGGATACACTCCATACCTAAAACAACACCGAAATTATGGGTAATACACTATCAGAAAACATATTTTGGTGACGGCCGGAGGAGACTCGTGTCCATCAAATGTGGCGAACACAAAGTAAGTTATACATCAACGTTTATCGAGTTTCTTTCAAGGTCAACGGGCTCCATCCCCACCATAATTCCTACTGGTCATTTACATGAGTTTCCCCACAAAGTTATCAGTTTTCATATACGGCTCCAACGAGCACCGCCACAAGACCCAACTTCGATAGGATTCAATAGAGTACCACTGCAAGCTGCTAGATCTGTATACGACCCAATAGGATACCACCACAAGCTCTCAAAACCATGCCTTGGGAACAACTCACTAGAAATAATAGTGAGAACTTCAAAACTTCTCATTCAAAACAACAAACTTCTCGACCCAATGGTTCAGGAGTCCGAACTATACAAGTTCACCTTTGCAATACCAAATGAAAGCGACAAATCATGGATCCTAGAGTCCAACTCTATATGAGTCTATCTCCACAATACCTTCAGTCCCGGAGTCCAATCCACACAGATCCCTCTCTACAATACCGACATGACCACCATGCTTACTCGAGCACTGGTCTCTAAGTGAGAACTTCAAAACTCCTCACTCATCGAACAACTAACTCATATTCCTATGAATCCAAATGCTTTACAGTCTAATTACATGACTTTAACTAAATGACCAACTCATCTAAAACATGTAATTCTCAAATAATTGTTTCATATATGCAAATCAGATCCAAAGCTCAACATAGAGCAATTTAAACTGGACAATGTCCACAAAACTCATCTGAGTCAACACCAAGCCAAATACTCGACGAATCAGTAAAAGTCAACATAAGCAATAAAAATGCAAATCTTCATACATAGGCATATCCATGTTCCAAAAGTATTACTAACACCAAAAACCTATCAATGGTTGGAACACACCATTTTCCAATTGAAATTATACCCTTTATATTTCCAAATCGTCTCATAATATAATAATATACATTTTCCAGCCAGAATACACTACAATGCATTATCGTGAAATAAGCTCCATTTATAAAATAAATTATTAAAAGAACTCACCCCTACAATTTATTTATCAAAATGTCCAAAAAAACCCAAATACAGAAATTTTACAAGATTTATAAAATCAAATGTATTAGAATTGCAAATTTCATCAATTAAACAAAACATATGATGTACACAAATTACAACACTCAAAACTCCAAAATATGGACATTTTGGTATACACAAATTAACTTCAATTCATCGTTGGTAGGTTGAGTTAAATCTAGGTTCCAAACCCAAATTTTTAGCTTCCAAAGATGGAGACTTGAGATCCACAAGCTAGATTTCCAGATCTATGGTGCAAAGCTTTCAAGAACATTCTCTTGAACTCTCAAGCTGTAGCAAAACACCACCAACAGGAGATAGAGGTTGAGGATGCAAAGTGACCAAATACTAGTTCAAGAAATGGTAGGTTAGAAGCTTGTCTTATCCCAAGCAGCAACTCCCGTGATTCATGTCGTTGGCCATGTTGCAAGTGCCGCATGCCATACCGCAGTTCGATCGTTTCTTGACTATTCTCCGACCATTTTTTCCGCCGTTCTCTGACCGTTTTTCTCGTCCGTTCTTGAACATTTTCTCGGCAATTCTCTGACCGTTTTTCTTCCCTTTCTTCGACCGTTTTCTAGACCAATCACTGACCGTTTTCTTGGAAATTACGGGTGTTATAATCTTCCCAACCTTAAAAGAAATTTCGTCTTCAAAATCTAGCACTAATAGACACTCAAACCATAAGAGACGCATGAGATGTTTTAAGAATGCCACACAACTTGAATAACAAATCCGATAGATGTTTGTCATTCATCTTTCACAAAGGAGATAACAACCCAAGAATTAAAACCTTAATTACCCCCAAATTCACCAACCAATTGACTTATCTTCCAAGGGAGTGTCTCCTAACATAACTTGACCTTAAACAAGGACCCGGTAACCTTCTAGTCAAAATTGTCACATTGATTCTCACAAAGAACAACACAAATCCCAACCTCAACCTTCGATACGTTACACCACCACTGGGGACTAATTGAAATAATGATCCTCCCAAGAGGGTGGACATTGAACCTTGTTGGTGCAATTCTCAACAATAAGATCTCGAATAATCAAAGCCACCTCTATAAAACGATTTCCACTTGAGGTCTACCTCAGATATTCCTACTAAACTTCTCCAATAATCAATACCATAAAAGATTTATCGTGATTTCCTTGACGAAATTCCTAACAACTAGTTTGGCCCAATTCAACACAACTCTAAATCACATACTCTAAAGTGTCACAATGCATGCAAATTAAGGGATTCTCAAAATTTCTTAGTCAAAGAATTCTTGTTATTGGCCAAACGCTCCATCTAGGAACACACCAAAATATTATTACAAAGAGCTGATTATTCTAGACTCAACGATTTCACAATTCCGAAAATGCACTCAAACATGCTTAACTAAATAATAAAATCTCTATTAATTCGGATGATTTCAATCACCTATTGTTAATCCTAAAAATCTAATCACCTTGGAATTACTCCTCACATTCCCAGGAATTCAATGGGGTATCACTTAAAACCCTAAATGATCATTGCCCTTAAAGTCAAAAGTCGATACTTAATATGAGAAAACGACCATATCACGAAACAAATGTTCTTCCAATCATGAAAACTCACCAAGATGACACACTATCTACAAATAGTTGATATCAACAAAGCATCCCAAAAGTTCAATATACCAGATGCAAGCAGTTATAGAAACCTCCAAACCGAAGATTGCCAAAATGGAAAGATCACTACTTAAATAACCGGATGGTTTCATAAATCTAATACCTCAATTATTCATACAAGTACCGACTTTTTGGGCTGAAATCCCGAAATTCAAAATCAATCACAAGTTGAATTGATAGTCCCAACTCTCAAAGACTTTCCTAGTCCTTAAATACAATATCCTTCACAAAATGGGTTTTAATATATGGGTTTAGCGAGTTCAAGGTTTTTTTTTCTCAGCTAAATTAACTCAATAAATATGCCAATTTGCATTTTTAAAAGATTTACAGAACATAAATTTTTTATGACAATTTTATATACGCTTAAAAATTACTATCACTACTAGGTAATCATGCAAAGTGGCCACGAATGCCACACACATAAACAAACCTGAAAGATGCATATTTGTTTCCAAAAAAGATAATGATGATGACAAACAAAAAAAATATGCTCAACAACATTCTTCAATCATACCATTATAATCTCAACATACACTTACTCATGCCATGTATGTAAATCAATTCATGCACTAAAATAATGTGCACAAAATGTGTTTGTACAGAACTCAAGGGAAAGCTATGCAACTGAACGCTGTCAAAATTATCACCTCTAACAACAGAATCGAATAAGATAAAAGTCTCAAGAAAACCTTATACGTAAACACACGCAATAAAGCAAACTTGTACATTTCAAAATTTCACCCCTAAGCCACAAAACGGCATGAAATAAAATTCAATAAAACTTTGTATACAAACATATGAAATCGAGTGATCTTCTGCATTCAA